TGTGGGAGGTCAATGACTGCACAGAAATAAGCCCCATATTAATGTTTAATTTATGTGATTTTCCTGGATATGAAATCTTACTGATAAGCTCAAAGCAAATTAAGTGGCTGAAAGGACGGCCATATAAGCAGGTTGGTTTTTGAGATTGGGTCTTTGAGTGGGAGCATCTTAGAAACCAATTACCAGACAAGAAATAGATCATTATTTTTTTTTTGGAGGATTGGGTTGTGGGGGTCTGTGTGTGTGTGTGTGTGTGTGAGGGAGGTTGGGGGGGTGGCAAAGGTGGTCGCTAAAAGGAAGGGAGGGTTATCTAGATTGAGGAGGGAGGGCACAATAAAGACATAATCATCTACCCTCAACTTTTCCTATCCAACTTTCAGATTTTAATTTGCCGTCTGTGAAGTGGTACCTAATTTACTTTCGCCTCATCCCTTCAATGCGCCATTGTTGCCGCTGCCGAGATTCAGAGCTTCCTCTCTTAGCTCACCTCGGCGTGAAATTGGTTTAATGAAGCTGAAAGGTATGGGGCTCTCACAACACTGCAGATTCCAGTGACACTGCTTGGTGCACCCACCCCCTCGTCTCAGCGCCCACCGCCCCCCGCCACCCCCCCAAACCCGGCACCCTGCACTTGCATTACGGTGACAGTTTATAACGCACCCCTCAAAAGATCCCAATCTCGCACATTACATCAGTGCATATTACTGTCCCTTTGAGAGTGCCAACTCTCAGGCAAGTGCCGGATGAGTAAAAAAAAGTCACTTGCTGATCAGTTATGGCAGACGTGAGACACTTCAAATTATCAGCCAGTATCAAAATGGACCAGATACTTGGCAGGAAAGAGAGAGGTTGTTTTAAAGAGAGAGAAACAGAAATAGAAAAGAAAAGAGTGGAAAGAGGTGAAACTAATCAGAAAGCAGCCTGGCCTGTTTTTCCCACCTCTTCCAATCTGACCCTGTGAAAGGTGTTCTCCTGTTACCTGTCCTCCTGGGTGTGGTTTCTAATGGGAATGGGAAGGAAGTCCTGTGGGATTATTGTGTGTGCGCGCGTTACATTAATATGATCCTCTCACGTCAGATCGTTTACTTCTTCTCGTCCCCTTTTAGGACAATCGAATGGAAATGCATCCGTAACCGAATATCTGTAATCTTCCTGCCTGTACCACTCATTTCTGGTTTGAGGCCCAAATCGGAGCTGGCAGATTTCGGGAAAAAAAAGAAAAGGAAAAACTGACGAAAGAGGAAAAGAAAGTAGGCTGTGTGTGTGTGTATGGAAACAGAAGGATGAGAGGCGATTCCTTGAGTGGGCTTCGCATGCAGAGGTGAGGAGGAAGTGTGGAGACCAGCTGTTTTGTTAAAGGAAAAGTCTTCAAGTCAGTCAGGTGCCTGTGTGAACACTGAAACAGGTTTGTGCTTTAGTCCCTCAGTCCGTCACTCATATACTTTCACTGTAAGTGAAGTGGTACAAAATCCATCCATCTGCGATCCATGCAAACAAAAGTTCATCAAAAGTTTATATGATAGTTCCAAAGTTAGTCTCATTTTTAAACTAGGCCACTCAAAGAGTGAATGCCTCTGCCCTGGCCCAACAATCCCCCATATGAAACCACATTTAAATTCACCAGGTCCAGATTTTTATTTGGAACAGCACCAAATTGCGCACACTCATAAATATCAATCCCCTAAATGTGCCTTGTTTTTTTCTTTTAATGAAGATCTGAGATATTTTCTCTGAGAAATCAATTAAAAAAAGTTTGAAAAAGGCCTTATCTTGCTATCTTGTTAAAAAAAAACCTGGATCCACAACAAAAATATTTAAATTCTTTCCTAATCCAAACTTAATCCTTTCACCAAATTTGCTGTAATTTGTCCAGTAGTTTTAACTACTAATCCTGACCAGCATATAAACAAACACAAATGCAAACATAACCTCCTAGTGGCAGTAAAAAGTGAAATTCATCACCAACACAAGTGTCCATGGAGACACAGGGAAATTAAATCTAAAAGAAGTAATGACCTGACTTTTGTTTTCAGACATTGTTGAACACTCTGGACTGATCCTCTGTTTGAAGTTTGACAGAGAGAGAGAGAGTGAAAGAAAAAGGGAAGACTGTAGAAAGGAAGCAAGAAAACAAGGAAGCAAGAAAGAAAGGAAGCAAAAAAGAAAGAAAGAAAAAAGTAAAAAAGGCAAGGAACAGGGGTGAAAGAAGGAAATCAAGGACACAAAAAAGAATGCAAAATAACAAGGAAGAAAGGATGAAACAAATTAAGGAAGTAAAAAAGTAAGAAAGCAAGGATGCAAGGATGCAAGAAAGCAAGCAAGCAAGCAAGCAAGAAAGAAAGGTGAGTGCAGCCAGGAAATAAAAAAGCTAGAAAGAAAGGACAAAAGAAATTAAGGGACCAAGACAGAAAGAAAGAAGGCAAGGAAGTAAGGAAGCAAGAAAGCGAGGAAGAAAGGTCGAAAGAAATTAAGGAAGCAAGAAAGCAAGCAAGAACAAGTTCAGAAAGCTTGAGGGAGAAGCTTTTGAGGGAGAAAGAGGATAATGTAAGAAGACCAGGAAGGCGACGGGGCAGACTTACAAAGGTTTCTTTGCACTGTAATGATACGGCCATTATGCTGAATCTCGGCTGCTGTAATTCAAATAGAACGACCACTTTCTCTGCTGCCGAGCTCCGGCCAGCAGCACGCACTGCTGTTTGCCTTTCAAAAGCCACTGTGGGTGAGGCCACTCGTGTATGCACAAAGTGCCTGTTACAACTTTCCATTCACCGTGGGATTGTGAAACTCATGACGGAATGTCCATTTACCATCCAATGATTTTAAGCCATTTCCAAATGTCCAACCATCCTCTTGTCGAAGTTGGAAAATTAGTTTTTAAACACTAACTTCCTGAGATTTTGTTGTCTCTCAAAGTCAGTTGATGGTACAGGACGCACCTATGTGCATATACAGTAGCTCTCACACTTCAATTTACACGGAGCGCTGCATTAATCTGTCGCATTTAGCTTGTTCCCTGAGCTTAAACCTGCTGTGGATGCAGAGTGGGGCGATTACGGCTGAACAGAACCACAGGAGTGCTATCTTTTACAGGTAATTACTCAATTATCAGTAAACACTGTCGCTGGAGACACAATGCAGAGGAGGGAACCACACAGACTGCTGAATGATTCACTTCAACGCCACAACAACATGCATTCACAAAGAGGACGACCATGTGAGGAGAGGAAAAAAGTCATTACAGCCACTTGTCAGTAGCTTCTGGTTTCATGATATGAGATAAGACTTGACTGAAATACTGCGGTATGCGTGATTTCGGCTTGGCTTCATTCCTTTGCATTAAAACCAGCTGTATGTAGATGCTAAACTACTCTGAACTCATCAAGCTGGAACTAATACTGACAAAACGAGACATCCCTCACTTATTAGCTATTAAACACACAGACAAACTGAGCACTATCAAATCACCTCACCAGGCCGGCTCTGACAGTAACACTTTCCACCACTAGTGGGAGCTGGTAAACAGGGTCGTGAGGATCCCCTTCAGGCTCCGACCATGAAAAGGTTCTTGTTTGAACAGTGTTGGGAACCAACAGTGATTTTTATGGGTTTGTTTAAAAACACAGGTAAAGACACAGACAGCCAGGTAGATGAATAGGTAGATGAGTTTGCAGGGGCTGGGTGTTCGGTTTCACCGATGTAGGCTGAAGGGATGAGCAGACCCAGAGTCCTTTCATTAGTCCGCAAACATTTAAGGAGAATTAACTGAGTGGATACGATGTGACACTTGCCCCAGAGACACCGAGCTGTGACGGAGTTGTCTGAGACGTGTGGGTTGTCTTGATTTTAAGATTTCAGTTTTTTCATCTGTCTTCTTCTTATTTTAGTTTGTGGAATAAAAAAAAAAAAAGTTAGTCAGAACAGCTTCTTCTCCCCCGGAGCTTAAAAAACACAAACACACAAACCAAGGATGGAAACTCCATGTGGTGTTACCTGCCTGTGGTCCGTGGTCATACACCGCGGCCTTAAGCCATGTCCCACAGTCCTACTCTGTGGTCCGACACACTCACCACAGGTTAACACACACACAAACACGAACACAGTAAAACATTCTCCTCTGCCGAAGTAGCCCTGCAGGCCTTCTAAATCTCTCCTGAGACAACCTACCGTGAGGTAATGAGGAATTAGGGGGAAGGAAGGAGGTCTCCTGAAGATTTACAGGTTTTAACTCCTGTTACTGTCACCCAGGAACAGCTACAGGCCTGTGGCTATCAATAACAACTACAACCACCACCGCTGCCTCCGCCACCGCCGAACCAACAAACACCACCTCACAACTGCTGGGAGATATTGCTTGGGAGTCTTTTTTCCAAGAGGGAATAGTGGACATGTCACGCGTTTAACAAAAAAAAAAACAAAAAAAAGCAGGATGTTATTCTGTTATTCAAACTGATCTAATAAATCTCAGATGAGATAACTGTTCTGTCTGAACTGCTGGTAAATCAACAATCCATTATTGTCTTTGTCACAAGTGTATCTAGAAATCTCTTCAAATGTTTCTAAATGCCAATGTAGAAAGGTTTTTCTCGCAAAATGAATACAATTTTAAAACGCTTCAGAAAGTTTACCAATTTTTTTTAAACTCTTCATTCTGTATATGTGACATAATCCCCTCTCACCGGAAATCAACAAAGTCAAACGCAATGCTATAAATATTTGACATAAAATTAAAAGAAAACATGCATTTCTTATTTTTAAACCTTTACAAACCATTTAAAAACATCCTTTTAACATTAAATATAATTTTAATTAACTCATTTTATTTTTCCATATAAGAATTTGAACGTTGATGTGTTTGATTTCATAATTTATTACATTTACAATAAATTGAATCTAACATCTGTTATTTTATTTTCTTGCTGCATGTTCTCTCCCATGTATTCTCTTAAATTATACTATTGTATTGAGACAATGCTGGAGGGTGATTCTGTGCTATAAAAAAATTTATTGATTGAGTGAGAGAGCAAAGCAATAATTATAATTATACATATATATTCTTTATACTTGTTTGTTGATCGCGGATAAACAAAGAGCGCTAAATTTACGTAATGCATTTGCTGTTCCTTTGGGCTGATGTGAGTCAGGCACGCAAAGTGCTGGAATTAAAAAATGCATAGTAGTACATCGCAGCAGTAAAAAAAGGTAATAATAAAAACAAACAAATCAAACCCGGCATTTTTAGCATTGGTATGTTGTTGTTATTTACCTACAAATGTAAAATGGCTGAATGTGCACTGAGTGTGTTTTCAGTCAGAGCTTGAGTGACAAACTTCTGTGGCCACTCCTCATTCCAGTTTGCTTCTCCCTGGAACGAGCAGACAAATACTGAGAAATCAGACTGATCTCTTTGTGAGACTTTATTATCTCTAAAGCTATCACCCCTTATTTTTAACAATAAATATATAAACAATTCTTCTTTCCCCAAGTTTCATGATGGAACATTCAGCATCTTACCAGGCGAGACCTTGTCAATAACAAATTATTCACAAAGTACACAAAAATGTAAAATATGTCATGTTGCCACACACAGACCAAATATTTAGCAGCTACACACGCACGTAAGAAGTAAGAGTGGGTGTTGAAAATCTGTTTTGCAACTGCAGGACGAGCAAAAGGACCTGACTGGTTACTGATAAAATGACGAGATGAAGAGATAAGCAGCGTCTCTGATTTAAAGTTAAAAGAGAAGCTGATATTGGTGAAGACAAACCACCCGGAATAACTACAGAAGAAGAGTGTGATGTTATATTTGCCATGCTTTAGTGGTTGCAGACAAAACACCACAACTAATCACATGTATGACTCATTCACGTCATGATAATTACCGCAGGTTTAGGTACTGTGTGCTGATTCACATGCCAAATGAACATCATGACTTAACTTATGACAGGGTGATTCTCAAAGCTTCTCAGCCGATTTACTGGTTTTGTCAGATTCAACTCTCTTAATAAACACAAGTCGACTGAAGCGCAGAGTGAAAATCTGAACACATGCACCTTTCAAACCTTCTTTTGAACAGACTTCTTCCAACTGTGGGAACACAGAATGGTGGATGCACACTGACAATGACTGATACTGAATGAGGTGATAGGAGGCTCCCACTCTCATTTACGATGATAACACGAGCGATCTAACAGAGGGGCCCCATGTTCGGCGGACGGGCTTACACCCTGGACAGGTATGTACAGCGCAATTACCAGACTAGCTCAGAGCATGCAATAATCAGTAGGTGCTGTTCTATTAAATATGGGGGTGGTGATGCAAAAAACTTAAAAAACAGACGACTAGTGTCATGTGTCAAGATTTACTTCACCTGACTAATTTTCCCTTGTGTTACGACTGCACTGGGTGTTCTCCGAGACAAGGACAGTCTCCTACCATGACATGGGCCGCAGTGGGTGTGCCTGTGCATGGGAGAATGTGTGTAGGTGTGCTTACAGTTTAAAAATAGGGCATGCCTGAGAGACAACTGACTAACTGAATGCATGAATGTGTTTACGTTTGCATCAAGGAAGACCGTGTGAACGTGGCTTGATCTTGTCTCTGTCTGACATGTGGCATGAGAGTGTGTGACGATTCCATCATCGGAGAGAGGCCGGGTCACAGACAGGTAGCAGAGACAACAAGAATGTGAATGTGTGAACGCTAAAGATGTCTTGACACATATGCTTGCCGGGATGTATGGAAACGCAAGGAAATAAAATATGCTCGAAAACATGTATAAGAGTTGTGCCCTGTGAGAGAGTGCGTGTTTGTGTGTATGCATGCGTGTGTGTTCAGCCATGTCTGCAGGGTGAGGTGGAGGCTGATGCTTTGGCAGCAGGTCTGGCACGTCTTTCAGGCCCAAACCTGCAGAGGAGCGAGAGAGAGAGAGAGAGAGAGAGAGAGAGAGAGAGAGAGGGAGGGAGGGAGGAGAGGGGAGAGGAGAGGCAGAAAGCAAATAAGTGTGAGAGTCAACCTGCCTTCATGTGATATGCTTCACTTTTACCTCGCCATCACTGAAAGCTCCTGACACTCACAAACCACATTCAGGTCCAGAGTCGACTTCATATGTGGCCCATGCACTGAAAGGCAGGATGGCAAAAAAAATAAAATGACATCACTTTAGGTTCGTTCTACATGCACACACCCAAATGTGAGCTCTTATGCAATGTACAGTATCTTCACACGCATCTGTTCCTTATTTGCATCCAGCTGGGTGTTTGAACAACAGTACCCACTTTGAACAACTTAATGATTTTCACATCTATATTTTTCCATGTGAATAATTTTTTACACACGCAGCGTGCAGGGTGTCTTTGTTTTGCTTTTCCATTTCAGCCAGGCACGTCGCCGCTGATGAACACATTGTATTTCAGCAGTCACGCGTTTTAGGAATGTGAACAAAAAAAGTGTCGGTGGTGCCCTTTTTGAAATTTAAGTTCAATTGTCCACACACTTTTATTTAGATTTAGAGATTTTGGTTTCACGTCACCACACTAAACACGCTTGCCGTCCACAACACCACCTGGCGTACTCAGTCATCAGGTCGGCTTAAGAATAGTTTGATCTAGATTACTGGTTGCATTTCCAAATTAAGTCAAACCTCTGCTGCGGATATTGTCAGATAAAAGGATTTCCTGAATAATATCCAGATAATACCCACACCTACACGGGAACACTTCTAAAGAGAGTGAATGTGTTCCCTAAGGCAGTAAATCACTCCACATTGTGACCACGGCACAAAAATGACATTGGAGTGTATCAACTGCATAACCTCAAAGGGAATCTCTATTCAGTAGCCATAAAAGAACGCCTTAGCGCACTATCCCTGTGGGGCCGGTACAGAAAGGGAGAATGGATTAAGAGAGAAAACAGAGAGGAGAAAAGTGGAGAGTGTACAGGTGAAGTCCTATGGCTATGGAGGTTTGCTCAGCTGTGCGGTATTCTTTTCTGCGCCCCACCCAGTAACCAAAGGCCTGGATATCTTTCCATTTCACTCTTTTCCACCCTCCCTCCCTCTCTTCATCTCTCTCTCTCATATTTGCACAGGTGAGAGGACAGCAGGCCTAATAAATGTGGGTGGGACACTTGAAAGTCAGGTTTGCCTGGCTAGTGGAAGGAGTTCACCTGTGGACTGTGGATGGATGGAGATCTGATGGCAGGGGCCCAGTCAGCCTTTTGTCTGGAGAGACAGACGGCAAACACACGCAAACAAACCCACGCAAAAAAAAAATCTGTTGATGACGGAAGAAGATTGTGAGTCTCTAAATAAAAATAGGATTTGGGAGCACAACGGTGCAAGTAATTGCTGCAGCACGAGGGCCGCATGTGAGGTTGAGAAAGACAAATATGTGGACGCAGTAGAGAAACAGAGAGACCAAATGAAGGGAAGACAGAGTGCAGGGACCCCGTTGGAACAGCGCAGGAGTCATAAGGGTGGGGAGGTTTTGCTCTAAGGGCCAAAAGTTCAGTGAGAGACAGAGCGAGCAGGTAACCCAAGCCACCATGTGCCAGAGTCTCACGTGTTCCCCTCATTGTCTTATCAGGCTCAAGCTCAGGTTTCTGGAGCACAGAGAGCTTCCTGGGAGCTGAGGTCCGAGCACCACCACCCACCTTCTCACCCAACAACCCCTCAGACCCCCTCGCCCCACCCTGCAAAGGTAAACACACACACACAATTAGCAAACACATATGTGTGTAATAGGCAAACACCGGAATGCATGCTTGAGCCTGAGAAAGTGGCCTTTATCGTGCAAGCTCAAGCACAAGGGAAACGACGCTGATGCATAAAAACCGCTCTGAGTAGGCAAATAATGCTCAGTGGCTCCGAGTCAAAGTGAGGTCTATAGCAGAGAATTATGATGAGCCTCTCAAAGCCTTGGGAAAAAAAAAATATACAGCCCGTGTATTATAATGGTAACTGGAGGAACGAGTCGTAAATCACCACAATTACCATTACGCCCATGTGAAGAGAATCTCGCTCAGACACATGAAGCAGGATTATAAGACGTGGGGATATAAACACTAGAGGCAATTTCTCCCTCTCTCTCTCCCACCCCCATCCTGTAGAATCTCACGCCAGGATCTTCTAGATTCATAACTTCAGTGAGATGTGATGTCAGTCATAAGCATCCTCTATCAATGTTGATATTCTAGCACCCTGCAACATATAGGAATGTCCCATTTTACATGTAGATTTACGCTCTTTCTTTTGGAAGCTTTCCACTTGCACTTCAATCTTCAACTCAGATAAAAACACAATCAAGACTACACCGACTTAAAGTGATTGACTCATTTCCCATTGCCAGTAGCGGAGTTGGCCTCTTCCCCCCCCCCAGTGCGTCATACTTGACATCACGCATGCATCAAAACTGAGGATCTCTCTCACCTTGCTGTCTTGCCAAATTATTAGGATCATGTTTCTCTCGGTGCCAATAAAAACTACTAGGGACTCATTTGACCTGGGAATGAATGTGAGTGTTTCTATTCCCACAGCAGAACCAGATGTTCACTGTTATTCGTTTTTTTGGTCTTCGTTGTAATACAGCACACCATCGCAATCTTGTTTGCTTTTCCACCTGTCCAAAATATTGTGCCTGTGGCTTTATTGTGTATCAATAAAGTTATTATTATTTATTTATTAATTTACTGATACTGCAGGTGCTGTAGAGTTTAACCCTTTTTTACCTTCTCCGTGCATCTCAGAAGTAGCTGAAATCCTCCCTTTTTTTCATGCAAACATCTCTACGCACATAAAATCATCTCTAAGGGACCAGAATATAAAAACTTCCTAAAATCTGGTCTCTTTTTCTATCGCTCCGTCTCTCTTTGGTCACTCTCTCTCTCTCTCTCTCAGATGTGAGGCCTGTGATCCCCGTGATCACTGAACACACAGAGGCTGGAATCACTGTGATGTCATCAGGATTCCATGAGGCCTACACAATGACCGTCTCCAGGACAACATAACTCAGTCCGCTATGGGTTGGAATTTGTGTGTGTGTGTGTGTGTGTGTGTGAGAGAGAGAGAGAGAGAAAGAGAGAGCGAGAGAACCTAACCTAAAATCAGATGCATTGTATCAACACAAAACATCTTTTATCTTACGAGTTCATACTGAAAAATAATCATGTGACATTGTGACCATAATCATAAACCACATCTCCGCATACAAGAGTGCACATGGCAGTCCATCAAAGCATGTCTGTCATTCCCATAATGACTGCACAGATACTGACAGGTAAGCAGGTTTCTCTGGGTGGGAGGCGACGGGCCTTGCCTCCCTGCCACTGGTCACTCCCTGATTTTTATTGAAAAGGTGTTGAGGCTAATGATCCCCCACTGGGAGAGCAAGAGACCCCGGGAGTTTCATCAGGCTGGAGGAGGTGGGACATTTCACAGGTACATGTAGTCTCACCTCATCAGCTCGTCAGTGTACGAGTATCATTATAACTGACAAGGAGGAAAATGACCAGGGAGAAAACAAAGAGCATGAGTCATAAATATAACCAGAGGGAATAGAGCACTTAAGTGAAATTAGATATTTGGATTATGCCAAAAGCACATAGAGAAAATATTCACACAAAAACTGTTCCAACTCTTGTTTCAGACTTGAATTAATTATACTTATTGATTATATTTTTGAATATTGTCCGAACCTGTAGGACCTGAGAATGAGCATGAAATCTGAAGAACTTGATTTTACCTAAAAATAATGTTGAATAAATTCCATTAACAAAGAAAACTGTCTCAAAGAGCTGTACTGCAGAACGTGAACTCCACAGAATGTCCGAAGAACATTGGGTCCAGATTTTCTCTGGAGTTTGTCTTTCACACGTGAAAAATGCTGCAGGAGATTCTCCTGCTCAGACGCGCTCACAACAACACAGAAACCTCTGGCGCGTTCGGGTGAGGGGTGGAGCAGCAGGCAGAGGCAGGATGTAATGTATTAATTCCGCTGGAGATCATATGTTTTCATTTACAGCACATCAACACTGGTATCTGCCCTTCTCACCTAAAGCTCTCTTGACATCTTCAGCAGTGTCTTCTACATGTATGGCTGCGCTTTTTCCTCCTGACATATTTGTTCTTTTTATACTTTTCATTTTTGCTTCTCTCACGTGTTAGAAATATCATCAACAAGCCCCCTTTTTACTGGGGGGACTGGCGGGAGAAAGTCTGGAGGCTCTCACTTGGACATTAGCGTTCACACATAAGGCCCTTGTGCAGAAGGATCTCCAGAGTTCAGTGCAAGTCTAATGTGGCGTTAGAAGCTGTAAACATATGATGTGGACAAATTAAAGAAAACACTAAAGCATTTTGATACAACAACAAACATACAGCCTCATGTCCACAGCCCCCTGGAACAGTATCAACCTGTCCTTTAACTTCTGTCATAGGGATAGATTATTTTGTTATGCATTCCTGTTATCTTGTCCACCCACCTGCATTTCCCTCTAAAAGTATCAAAGCTTTCAGCAAAGTCTGTATTTCTGCATACTGGAGGCTCTGCGGAGCCCTGCAGTGCTGTGTGGAGGTGTGAATGTTAACATGGCTCAATCTGTATGCCACAGAGAAAAAACAATCCATGCTAATCTGCAGCCACAGACAGGCGTCCAGTTAGGCCAATCAGGAGGGGGAATCATCTGGAGTGGAGAGAGGCTCAGAGAAGCCCAGATCAGGGGCCTTGATTGCAGAGGGGTGATTTACAGCCACAGAACAATGATGGCTGCCTGGGTCAGCACTGATGGAGAGAGGCTCTGTCTGCACCAGCAAAGACTCACCTGACATCCATGAGTACACACATGACCACAAGTCCACGCCTGTACACACACACCAGCCATCAAAACAATTTGTGTTAGTCACTGAGGTA